GGACTACCTCATCTGGCTGTACTGGATAAACCCGATTGCTTGGTGCGTGCGGGCGCTGGCAGTGAACCAGTACAGAGACTCCACGTTCGACACGTGTGTTTACGGCGACATCAACTTCTGCGAAAGCTTCAATCAGACAGTCGGCGAATACTCGCTCGGTACATTCGAGGTTCCGTCCGAAGAGTCTTGGCTCTGGTTAGGCATTGCGTACCTCGGTGGCGCGTACTTTTTCTTCATGTTTCTCTCGTACGTCGCACTGGAGTACAACCGATATGAAAGTCCCGAGAACGTGACATTGACCAGCTCGGAGGACAAGAGCGATACCAAGGACGGATACGGTCTGATGGCCACGCCGCGAGGCTCAACAAACGGTGGTGATGCTGCTTTCTCTGTGGCTCCTGCTAGCGAGAAGCTCTTCGTTCCGGTCACCCTCGCCTTCAAGGACCTCTGGTACAGCGTGCCGGACCCGTCAAACCCCAAAGGAACGATCGACCTGCTCAAAGGTATCAACGGGTACGCACTGCCAGGTACCATCACGGCACTCATGGGATCGTCAGGTGCCGGCAAAACGACGCTCATGGACGTTATTGCTGGCCGCAAAACCGGAGGAACAATTGGCGGCCATATCCTGCTGAACGGTGTCCCTGCCACTGACCTTGCCATCCGACGATCTACTGGATACTGCGAGCAAATGGACATTCACTGTGACTCGACAACGTTCCGCGAAGCGCTCACATTCAGCGCGTTTCTTCGTCAGGGTGCCGAAGTTCCTGACAGCTACAAGTATGACTCAGTGAACGAATGTCTTGAACTGCTAGATCTACACCCAATCGCCGACCAAATCATCCGCGGCAGCTCCGTGGAGCAGATGAAGCGGTTAACTATCGGTGTGGAGCTGGCAGCGCAGCCGAGCGTGCTGTTTCTTGATGAACCCACGAGCGGACTGGACGCGCGTTCTGCCAAGCTTATCATGGACGGCGTCCGCAAGGTGGCGAATACGGGCCGCACCGTTGTATGCACGATCCATCAGCCTTCGACGGAGGTTTTCAGTGTGTTCGACAGCCTGCTGCTGCTAAAGCGTGGTGGTGAAACAGTGTTTGCGGGTGAGCTGGGGAAAAACGCAAGTCAGATGATCGCGTACTTTGAGTCCATCGAAGGTGTGACGCCGCTGAAGGACAACTACAATCCGGCGACGTGGATGTTGGAAGTGATTGGTGCGGGCGTGGGTAACAGCAACGGTGCCAAGGATTTCGTGAAGGTCTTCCAGGAGAGCAGGCAGTTTGAGATGCTGCAGACGAACTTGGACCGTGATGGTGTGACTCGACCCTCGGCAGACTTGCCGGAACTGATATTCACCGACAAGCGCGCTGCGACGGAGCTGGTCCAGATGAAGATGGTGATGCAGCGCTTCTTCCGCATGTACTGGCGCACGGCATCGTTCAACTTGACACGGTTCTTCGTATCTCTGGTGTTGGGGATCCTATTTGGCATCACCTACGTCGATGCTGAGTACACATCGTTTACCGGCATCAACTCGGGAATGGGCATGTTGTACCTGACGGTCGCGTTTCTCGGCATCAGCTCGTTCAACAGCTCGTTGCCTATCGCTTCTCAGGAGCGTGGTGTGTTCTACCGTGAACGCGCAGCGCAGACGTACAACGCGTTCTGGTACTTCTTCAGCTCAAGTGTGGTGGAGATCCCGTACACGTTCTTCGCCGTGATGCTGTTCATGATCCCGTTCTACCCGATGGTCGGCTTCACCGGGGCCAGTGCATTCTTCACGTTCTGGTTTGCTGTGTCGATACACGTGCTGCTACAGGGGTACATCGGCGAGTTCCTGGTGTTCCTGCTGCCGAATGTGGAAGTCGCACAGATTCTGGGTTTCCTCATGGCGTTGATCTTCCTGCTGTTCATGGGCTTCACTCCTCCTGCTGGAGACCTGCCAACGGGCTACAAGTGGTTGTACCACATTACGCCGCAAAAGTACACGTTTGCAGTCGTATCCAGCCTCGCGTTTGGCGACTGTCCCAGTGACGGCGTGGGCAGCGACGTTGGGTGCCAATTCATGACGAACGTGCCGCCGTCGCTCCCGGCAGATCTGACCGTGAAGAACTACTTGGAGAGTGTTTTCCTGGTGGAGCACAGCGAAATCTGGCAGAACAATGGTATCGTGCTGGCCTTCTTGGTCTTCTTTCGTGTGCTCACACTGCTGGCGATGCGCTTTGTGAACCACCAGAAGCGGTAATCAATCGCTTGTTTTCGACGCATCCACGAGTCACGGGATGCACTGCATTCCTTACGAACCATCTCTCTGTCAGGACGTGCGCTACAGTTTGTAAATCATTAACTACATGCCTTCATCATTTGTCGTGTTGACTGTTCACCATTGCCTGCAAGACAAACCAGTGGTTCATGTTCGGAATAAGGAGGGATCGACACGAGCGACGACGTCGACTGTGTCCTTGAACATTGACAAGATCTAGCCTTGTAGGTAGGACAGGTACCTCTGAAGGAGCTTCTACCGGGAACGCTAATGCTCAACGTTTGTCGGATGTGTATCGCGGATCCGATTGCCACAGTGCCGTCACCGGTCATCGAGGTATGCCCGTGACGTAGCCAAAACAGCCAAAACAGCGTCACTTTTGTCAGTGGTATGATGCCTGTGAAGATGTTAGTTTCAAAGACTGCCGCAAAGTAGTCGGGGACTTGGTGATCACTAGCAACATGAGTCATGTTGCTTGGTTGTCCAGTTCACGTTGTCCAGCAATAACCAGATACAGGATCGCAGAAAGGTGTGCGAGTTCAGCCCAGTGTCGACGTTTTGTCCCATGGTGGACAGAGGTGTTCGGAACGTGTGCACGCCTTGTGACTCTACGTTTTGACACCGCATCGTCTGCAGCTTTCGACATCACTTGACGAATGGATCATAACCTTGTGATGCGCGCTGTCTTGTAGACATAGTGACATGATGTCAACTTGACAGCACAAACGTACACGCACATGGGCCAAGGTCTAATGAGCATATGCGCAGATCACGTTATCGGACCATGACAAATCGAGTGGCTATTATCCCGAGAACGACCCGCAAGTACAAAAACCGCACACTAAACGCAAACGGATCGTGTGATTACTTCGTTAAACGACTCCTTCCGCTTCTTTGTCAGGACCATCCTGCGTGTCGAAATGGAAAGTTTGATCGCAACGTACATCGTCTGCGCCAGCAAAATAGTACTCACTTCCGTTGTCCGTCCGTCTTCAATCCTGTGTATTCAGCCTCGTTTCTGTACATTCATCGATTGAATGACCTGCAGGGAACAATCCACTATCGAAGACTCAAGGAGCTCATGTAGACCATGCGAAGTTGTCGCATCATGAAGTGCTGCTCACAACAAGTAGTCACCAAGTAATGGTATGTACGATGACACACTGCAAAAAGAACTTCCATGCTTCCAGAGCCAGCGAGGCCATGATGAGCTAGCTGTTAGGAAAGGAGTGTGGTTCCCGACAAGCCAGAAAAGCAGAGTAAGTCGCAGGGTGGTGGGTGTTGCAGAGCGTTGTACTGTACTGACGCGATATTCTATCGCTAAGAGGAAGAAGCTCATGTCTTCACTGGAAAAGGGTAGGGAACTCAGTATTGCTTTGTGTCCCTGGCAAACTAAGCCACGAACGACAGCCTGCTCGCATCATCGAACCGACATTGGTGACGCGCCATTGCGGATGAACTGGTTGCCCTTCGAAGAGCCAAGTATCACACCGCCCGGCAGGACGATGAACAAGACTTAACGAGACCATCTTCACACAATAGCGACTCCATAGGGCGGACAGCAAACAATGTGTTCACAAGCTGCGGTATCTAGTAAACAACAGAAACGAAGGATATCCCGATGGTGCCTAATACGGATGTTAGATGTAAAATTTCTAGTTAAAGCTAGAGGAGCAAGCTCTGGTGCTCGTTCTTTGACATTGGTAATCCAGTTCATAGAACGGAATCAAGTTGCATGGCAATGTACAAAAGCAGCAGTCACAGAAGAGGAATTGTGATGCTGTTAATGTCTGCGTTCACCTGGAATATGTATGTAAATGCGTTGCGCGAGCCGTCTTGCCACAAGTGTGGTTCAACTTCTGCATGCGTCGCGTTATATCTCTGTTTCTACCGTTATCTCTCTCTTGGCCAGGTTCCATCAGCGGCGTGTGCGCTACGAGTGTAACGGGGTAGCCTGTTACATGATATTGACACCGAACGGTGTCAATAGGGATAATGTCTAGCATGACAATTCCCTACCAATATTATCCGAGATGGATAATATTGAAGGAATGTTGTCCCATTTTTAGGATAATGATCATGCGCTGCTCAAAAATTAGTTAATAAGTAGATATCAACTATAGATTGCCACCAATCGCTGCTAGACGCGCGCAACGAGTGGTGAGCATGTTGTCATCATCCGACGACGTGGTAATCTATAGTTGATATTTACTTATTAACCAATCTTTGAGCAGCGCATGATCTATTGAAGAAGCAGTAGTCGCTGCAAAAACGTGGCAGTCGGCCGACCACTTCAGTTGAATGGCAGTTTCTATCCTGGGATGGTGTAGTAAAATCAGGGCGAAAATGGTTGGTGTCGAAGAGATGGAAGCATGGTAGAAACTTGGTAACGACAATAACACTTTTACATTTTGCATTGGCATCTTCCTATTCTAACATGATCATTATCCTAAAAAGAGGACAACGTAGTTTAATATTTCAGATAACTCACAGTTAGAGAGCGCAATTTGTCCACAAATTTTGCAGTGTCCTTAAGATCGAAACTAACTTAAAGGACACCACCTCGTTTCTGATGGTATATGATCGGAAAAATCTGTAGGAATATACTATAGGAATTGGATAATTGGAATAACTTTCTAGGAAAATAAGATATGAAGAAAAAGGTACAAATCTAAGTGAATTGACATTATAAATATCAGTTCCATTTTTGCGTACTATTAAGTAAGTGTTGTTAGTTTCAGTATGGGCCACCGAGCTTACTCTTTCGAGAAATTGGGTCGGTAATTTGCTGCTGGTGCATGCTCTGTTGAAGCTGTTGGCGGAATTTCTCGGTCAGCAGTTGCATCCCCACAATATCAATCCTGGGTGCAATATCGATCTTGTGTGCGAATAGGTACGTAGAAAATTGCATTGCAGCATTCAGCGCGTCGCGATGAGTGAAGATGGAATTTTCGTCTCCGTTGCTGTCGTCATCACGCGAAAAGGGTTCAGAGGTGGCAGTTGCATCGGAGTCTGGTTCCCATTCTATCAGGTTGTGGTCACACTCTAGATAGTCGTCCGCATTCATTCCATCAGATAAGGATAGTTTGTCGACTAGATTATCCAGGATTGAGAGATCATTGGGACGGACCGGCTCGTCTTGCCTACAGAGCACTGCCGCCATAACTCCCGACACGATTCCTGTGTGGATCCAACAGTGTCGAATCGCTTCAGGGCGCACCTCATCACACAATTTTATCACCATACGGATTGTGCTAAGAACGTCGAGCTTTTTGTCCTCCGTCCCTGCCGTCACCATGTTTAGTAGCCATTGCACCAATTGGGCCTTGTACTTGAGCTTGAAGTTGCGAATGATGCCCGCGTCCATCGGCTGAAAACGGGAGGTGGTACTTGGCGGAAGGAAGTGATTGTGTACGTTTGGGAGCTCCAAATTGACATGTGATGTCGCGTTGTCGAGCAGCAGAAGAACGTTTTGCCCACTCATTTTGAGATTGAACGCTTTCAACCAATTTGCAAAGATGCCGCCATCCATCCATGCCTTTACGTTTACTTGGAAGTGGACGGGTAGCTTGGAAACGTCGATGGCTTTAAAGCAACGGAGGTTGAGGGACTTTTTGATCACGGTTGGGCCCAGTTTCTCATTCCTATCCATATTGGAGCATAGCCCTATCGAAATGCGCGACTTATCTTTCTTCTTGCCACTTAAAGGCATCGTTGCCAGATCCCACAAAGGCACCATGCAATAAAATATACCGATTTCATTCATATTGAATACATCGCACGCCGCTTAGCCGTCGAGAAGGGTCCGGAGTTCCTGGCGCCGCTGGTAAGAATCTCTAGCTCGACTGAGGCCGCCTCGCCATGCAGTCGGTAAGACTTGATGCCGCGTCGGGCTTTGAACCTCGACACCCACGAAAGCGAGAGCGTCGTCGTTACACCTGCGTCCTCGAGCACTTGATTGGCCTTCTGGTGGAGGATGAACTCTGTCAACGTGACTTTACTTTGAGTGTCGAGCACGAAATGGAACAGCGCTTTATTCACCTCGGCATGCCTGCCCTTCTGCTGCCGTTTGGCTCTCGGATTGAGGGTGACAAGAATGTCCTCGCTCAGAATCCTGCTGATCGTGAACGGTGCAACACGGACTCCAAACTCTCTTAGCGCTCATCGACAAAAATCGGCTTGCGTGAGTCCGTGGTTCTCTCGTTGGTGTGTCTGTATAGCTCTCTTCTGGACGAAGGAAAGGTGCGTTCGGGGCGCCATTCGTACGTCGTGTTTGTCGGCCGAGGTGTTCGGAAATTGCGAATTGTCCTTGCGTGGGGGGAATGGGACGGGTGGCGGTCGTCACTACGTTCTTTTGTCCAATAGCTGTGCGATAGAAAAATACACTGAAAGTTTTTATGTGTTTTTTGTCCAGTAAAACGCGGTTTCAAAACTGTGTTAGTCCTTTAACCGTGATCTTTCTAACTGTGAGCAATCTGTAGTTAAAAGAAGATTGAAGTTATATTGATGGATTAACTATGTTAAATACAGTTCTATTTTTACCCTTTACTTTACACAGCTGTTGAGTAGATTAGATTCCTCTGCATGTACTAGTGTACGTGAAGTTTCGTGGCATGAAGGAGGAACAGGTCTGGGGCAGGTTGAATTGATGTCCTGCGGAAAGTTTCTGAAGGCCGGCATCGAGGACCATCAGTAGCGTTAGTCAGCGTCTGCCTCTCCATTTGCCAGTCTTCCCGGGGTCAAAGAAGGCTTTTATAAATCGGTAGGCCGGAATGCCTGCAGGTCTGCGGAGATATGGCCAAAATAAATCCATCGGCTGCGAAGCCAGTATAATCGGAATTGGTGCGTCTTCGTACAGTCGATGAGCTTCTAATTGAAAATCGTGGCTAATTAACGTACGCTGATCACCTGGCGGAGCTTTTGACGATAAAAGCTCCTGAGGATTAGTAGCAAGGAACCGGGGAGTCCCGCAGGTGTGAAGCAGAATTGGAAATATGTAGCAGGTGTAGAGACGCAAGCGCGTAGCTTCTGAGGTCTTCGATGGCCGGAGCCAAACTTTCCACATGTGGTGCAGTGCAGCTGCCGCTACATTTTGCGGCGAGAGACTTCTTCGGCGTCTCCGAGGAGAGAACCTAATTTGCGCGCAAGTTTCAAATCTTCATTCATTTTATGAGTGATCCGGTTGGACAGCGCGGTTGTGCTGCAGTGTACAATATTATGCTCGGTCTTGGATGTGTTCATCGAAAGTGACCAGGTGGCTAGAATGGCAGGGGATTCAGTCTTGATCAAAATGGCTATGTCAGCGCTCTGGCAATTGAAGTCGGCGTCGTAGGTGCCACGATCACGTTAGCTAAAAGATAGTGGGGAACGCCGAGCTGGCTGGCTAGAATCCGTAAAGCTACTTCGAGTTGAACAACAAAAAGAACGGATATGAGTGAGTCTCCTCGTGAAGTACCTGTGTTGCTCTCGAACGGGAGAACAGGCGACTGCCGAGTCTAAGGGAGAACATTGTGTCTTGTAGTAATAGCCGAACAGTCGAATTTCGTCGTTATCGAAAAGTGTTTTGAGCACAGAGAAAACTTTGTCGTGGTCGAATGTGTAAAAAGCACGTCAGAGGTCGAACCCAAGAATTTGGAAGCTATCCTTGCACCTCTGAGTCGTGCTAGTATCCATCTGTATGTCCACACTTTATCGACAGTGCTGCAACAGGGTATGAACCCGCTGTTGTTCAGGGACCAGTATTGTTCGACCTTGGGGGAGATGCGGCGTTGCACTGCCAAAAAGATTGTCTTACGAATGCTGTTGATTAAGAAAAATGGTCGAAGGCTGGCGCATTAGCCGGTCGGCTTATTTGGCTTTGTGAGTCCGACAAGAATACCTTCGCCCAGGTGAATGTTTTCTCCGGTGGCGAGACCGTGGATTGATGATATCACCAAGTGGTTGAGCTATTAGTTATGGTACATACTTGAGACACTTGGCAGCAATGGAGTCCGTGCACGTTGCGCGTCCATTGTGTCAGCGAGGAACGCTCGTTCGAGCTCAACTGAGGTGATCAGATTGTTCAGAGGTCATTCAACGACGTCTTCAACGAAGAGCGTGCACGTGGGATCGAAGAACTGGCCCTGGATGTAAAGGGGTTACACGCGGTTATTCGAACCGGTTATGTAGTGTGTCCACACCGCGTAAAAGATCGGTGGATTTGAGTGGTACAGTCCTGGTACCACGTACTTACGTTAAGCCCGCACCTAATCGAGTAAGGATAAGGAATCAAACTTCTGTAATAAGATCGTGATGTAGAGGTCAGTCAGGCAAGGTTTTAGCGCTTTATTACCGTATATAAAAGAACAATAAAGTTCAGTTTCCCATTTGAGTCGTTGGACGCTAGTGCCTAGTCAAGGCGTAGCGTGTTGTAAGAATGTTAGCCTTGTAAAGACATTTACTCTTGTCTAACTAGTAGTGACTAGTTAGTGTGTAATTTTGTGAATCGTGATCCCTTTGGAACCGGAATTGTTAATTTGTACGCTTGTAGGACTGTACGTCGTTATTAGTTTGTTATAACTAAAAGACTCTTTGAGTATAAGACCTCTTCTGTTAAGGAGCGCTAAGTAGCTCCGCTACTCTTGGTAGCACTTGTAGTCAATTAACGCCTGAGTCTTCACAGAATGAATCCTCATCGAGGATGTAGACGTCCGTGAGCCTATCTGAGGCCCAGCAGATCACGCTTGAAGAACATCACGACGTTGATCGAGCACGACCAAGTGACTTGTATAGTGTCGCAAGGCCCGGACGCACTTCGTGTAATTCTCGAGGCCGTTTTGAACTTTAAGTCCACGTTGATCGGACAGGTCCATGACCATTTGGCATCTGCCATGACCACTCAGTATGTTCCAATACCGGACACTGAGTCAAGGACTCATCCTCTAGGCTTAAGTAACAAGACTTTCGAGGGGAATGAGGGAGAAAATCTCATTATGTGGGTTCGAGAGATGGAGGTTGCCATCAGCTCGGTCTAGCTGGGGTCAAAACAGCAGAAGGTGGACCTGGCCCTATCAAAGTTAGGTGGCCGATTCAGGTAGGAGATGTTCACTTCTAGAACCTCGACATCAGAGGATTTTTCCACCTGGAAAATGCTGAAACAGCAGCTATCTCGGGTGTTTGCCCAGCCTAATCAGAAATGTCGCCTGTGATCACGTTTTCTGTCAACCCGCTAGGGTATAAAGGACTTAGTCAATTACGTCAAAGAGCTGCAAGCTCTAATAGCTGCTATGCAACTTGACACTTTACCTGAGACAATTCAGGTAAATATGTTTATGAAGGTTCTTCGCACTGGCGTTTCCAGGACAGAAGTGTTTCGTGCCCAATCCTTGACATTTGAAGGCTCAGTGGAAATACCGTGGAACTCAGAGTTCAACGTTAAAGCTACCCGCTACAGGACTCATACTTTCCAATTAAAATCGTCGAGCAATGTCCATCTCATGGATAGGGCAGAGCCCGTGGACCTTAGTATTGCCAAGAGAGACGAAAAGCTGATTTTTATGCTGTCGAACAGCGTTCGAACATCCGAAGATGTATGACGTGCGGGAGCATCAAAATCTTCGTCCCAATTGTCCTTGAAAAGTAACAGAAACGCTCATTCAATTCGTCCTCCCTTCGCTAACCAACGAGCCGGTAAAGTGCGGGAAAACGTCGAGTCCTAGTAGTCGCGGGGCGCCCTGCTGGGTAGGATTTAGGCTCTGTTGTACCTCTTGGAGATGATGGAGAACAGGGCCTGCCCCAATTGATTTCGTGCACAGTGTCACGAAGCATGCGTACAAGCCAGGCTTGATAGTTGAGAACGAAAAAGTAAAGGGCTTTGATAAGCCATAGTCGATATTGATCGACTCTGGGGCTTCGGGAAATTATGTCCAACCCTGCTACCTGGAAGGTATTCAGCAGTATGCTGAGACGCTGAAAGCGCAAAATAGTGAGATTATCACTGTTTTATTGGCGACAAATGCATCGGTCACTGTGCTTAAAAGTTCCTGTGAACTTGGGCGTGACATTTCTGACTTTGACAGTATCAAACGCTGTCTAATCCTTATTCTAATGAGGGGGGTGCAATCTTATCCTTGGTATGGATTGGCATGAACTCCATGATCCGTGGATTGATCGTAGGTCAAAGAACTTAGGCGCAATTATCACTGCTCCAAGTAAAGATTTGATATTCATGATCTCACTTCTGTTAGAATACAGAAATGCTTTTGGCGCGAGCTACGGACTGAGACAGTAAGTGTGCTGGGTATCGGCATGGCTGAACTAGTTAAGTCGGACGATACTAAAAAAACGTTAGTTGCGAGCCAAGCTCGTTGACCGCTAGTGAGACGGCACGTACTCTGTCGAGTGATAATTGTTGTGAAAACGAATCACTGGATGCTGAATGCATTATTGGTCCAGAGCCGAGTCATCATGGGTTGAACCCATCTGGTCCGCGTGGAGTGGCACGTTAGTACCCACTGAGTGATGTTGGCCGTGATTGCGACAAACTTAAACTCAGTCAAAACATTTGGTGAAAACCAAGTTATAAGGGGCAACGCCCATTTCATGAGTGCGGAGTGGCACGTTAGTACCCACTGGCTGGTAATCTCACTGGAAGTTAATCATCACCAGATGTCT